GTACAACAATGAATGAATGGAAATCCAAAGTCTCTGTAAATTTTCATTAAAATTAATAATAATAATAAAATTAAAAATAAAACACCATTCACAATAAAGTTATATGAAGTATACACAAAGAAAGAGTTTATGGGGACTCACTAATTCCTTTAACAAATACTGACTGAATAAACTCCATTCTAAGCCTTAGCTGATCATAAAACTTGGTGCAAAAAAAGGTTATTAGAAAATTGCATTCATATCCCTAAGCGCCTAGACAGGAGTCCTGTGTAGAGCCAGGGAAGGGCCAGGAGAGGTCCTTATCCAAGCCCCAGAGTTCAGGGCCTAACAGAGCCTAAGTAGAGACAGGGGTAATCCTCTAAAAGATCTGTAAGAAAAGAGCCCTGTGCAAGATTACAGCAAGTGCAAAACCAAGAAGAAGCAGAACATACACAATATCAGCCAAAGAGTAATTAAAGCTAAAAAACAAGACAGCGTTAACAGTTCCTAGGAGAAACATTTACAGAATAAATAGACGTCAACTAGCTTTCTTACATACACATATGTGCTACTTAATGTCCTCAGGCAATGTCCAACCACATACATGTCTGTGAGCCATCAGGGGTTTTGTGTTCGTTTGTTTAAAAGAAAGCAGCTATCTTCTTCTTTATTATTTCCCCTAAGGGAGCTCTGGTGACTTGGTGGTAAGGAACTGCGCTGCTAACCCCAAAGGTATGTGGTTCGAGTCCACAGGTGCTCCATGAAAGGAAAATGGGCAATCTCCTCTCATGTGACTTACTACCTCTGAAAACCTGCTGGAGGATTAGCTATGGGTGAGTTCCAACTCGAGAGTACACAACAATAATGGTTTTTAAGACCCCAAACCCTTGAATGGCCCCAGAGTAAATCCCAATCCTTGCAGCATCTCTTCCTTCACTCTCTTCATTCACTCACTCAGCAGCCACACAGCCTTTCACTACTGGTGCAAGGGCAGCACCTGCCATGGCTCCTTCACTCCTGTCTTAGGCACCAGCAGCACCTGCTGGGTCTGGGGTACATGTGGGTTCTAGGTAATGAGCAGCACCTGCAGCAGGAACAGCTGTATATGACTAAGAAGTGGTTGCACCAGCAGGATGGGTAGTCAGAGCCAGCCTCCTTCTCACACACTTGATCTCGGCAGCTACACACTCTCTGTGCACCGCCCCCCTCACTGCCCTGTGCACCGCCCCTCACAGACCTGTATACTGCCCTCCCTTACTGCCCTGTGCACTCTCCGCCAGTGCCCTGCGCACTGCTCCCCCTCATTGCCCTGTGCCAGTTGTACACAAAGTCCTGATCCAGCAATGGGCAGAGCCTCTGCCTGGCCCAGATACACACCTGTCAAAGCCAGCCTCCTGTATCCATCGGATACAGTGTGCGGGCTTTGTTAAGCAGCCTCCCATGAGGTTTTAATATGATAAGCTTTACAGGGACTTAACTACAGATTGTACAGGGATTCCTTGTATATGACATGGTATTCATACAATGTCCAAATTACGTAACATTCTATTTCACAAAACACAGTGTGGCCATAAGTGATACACATCTGTACTGAGAATAACCAGTTGGGAGGGGGGATTAAAAAAACACAACAGAAAAAGGATTTCATTCACAGTGGCAACAGAGGGGGAAGCAGTGAAGCAAGCCGCTGCAGTCACCAGATCATAATTAAAGGTTTACAGCAGCTGACCAAACACTAGATCAAAATACTGGCAACTCAGAGCAGCAGGAAACTTTGTGACACTTTCACTTGCCCTTGTCCCACCTCCTCCTTGGACTGATGGCAGTCCTAAAGAAAGCGGTGTGTGTTCCAGGGTGGGACTCTTACCCTGGTTCTGCAGGGAGAGAGCAAACGGGCTTACTAACAAGCGATTGCGTTCTGTTCTAACCTGTCTGGAGGTTACCCAAAGGACTGGCACGAGGTGCTCATTACTGTTTCACTGAACTTGGAAGCCACTCAGGGAGGACAAATGACAAACTTTGCTCAAAAAAGGGTTGCAAGGCAAATAAAAAAAGCCACAGCATGGGGCCAAAGGTGACAAGGAGAACACACCAAATGTTCCACCTAAAAGCAGGGGAAAGGAGTTTTTTGAGAGAGGAGACAATTTAAAAGTACTTAGTTACACCACGGAATTTAACCCAGGATGCTCAGTAAAGGTGTCAGAAAACCTTATGCTTTCACCACTGGAGATGCCCAGGTGTGGTGCAGGTACGGAAGTAAAGGCAGCGGCAAAACTGTAAATGGCCTGGGTAAGTGTTAAAGGAGTTCCTCAGCATTGAGTCAGTCTACAAAGACTGGAGAGACCCTTTGGGTTAGGTTTTGGTTTTTTTGTGGGGGAGGTTTGGTTTGAGTTCTTGGCACCACAGTCTCTTTCCAAACAATGGCTGATAAACACATTAAAGGAAATAAATAAGGCTTTAATGATTTTATATAAGAAAGAACATAGTCTTTGCAAAAAATAGTGTGCAAAGTTACTAAACAGACAAAAGCAATCTTCAACAATTAAGAACAACACACTCTGGAGAGAGAGGAGAATCTTATTACCAGAATGAACAGAATCTTATTACCAGAGATAACATTCTTATCTCCGGTAATAACATTCAAATGGCCAGTTTTCCACAACAAAATCAGAAAGCATGCGTGCGCGCGCGCACACACACACACACACACACCCCAACCCAGAAAAGTATGGGCCAAAGATGAAATGAGAAATCTAAGCTTTCACTTCTCAGGTGGTACCACAGAAGATAGAGAGCTGGGACTTACAACCCAACCAGTTACCAATCCGCTTGCTTGCTGTGGTACCAGTTAAGGCCAGGAAAGAAGCCAAAATGCTCACTTCCCACCCAGCAATAAACAAAGAAACACCACATTAGGTCTTGACTGAGGCTCACACCTGACAATAAAGAATACAAATAGGATGTCAAAAAAAGCCCACCCCACAGGAGTTTAAAATTCATTAAAATAACCCCATCAATAAGACACCAAAAACTTCAACATGACTTCTCACCTGTAAAGATTATAAATGAAGTGCTGTAAAGGTTACTGTGAAGTGGGCATAGTGCTGACACAGTGACAATAGTAATGGAAATAATAATAGTAATGGAAGTGATAAGCTTTTACAAGTGGGTCATCTGATAATGAGTCTTAAAAACCTCAGAAAGTACATACCTTTAAGCAAGATAATTTTAACACAAAAGAAATCATTTGATACAAGTGAAAAAACTTATTTACCGAGATCGTAATGGCACATAATTTATCATGCCATAAGGCCATGAAAAGGGTGCCTTTATGAAGATAACAGAGCACTGGGTAAGTGATATAGCCATGTAACAAAACAAGATGCAACCATAAAAAATAATGAAGCATTGCAATCCCAGAGGTGAGCAGTTCACGTCCACCAGATGCTCTGCTCGAGAAGGAGGGGAATCTCCTCCTGTACCAGTCAGATCCAATTTGACAGGACACACACAAGTTAAAAAAAAAATGAAGCAATTTAACAGAAAAATACTATGTGACATCATGTTGAAAAAGTCAATCATAGAACTATTATGGCATGTAATCTTATTTTTATTTGAAAAGATAACATTTCACAATCTCTGTTTACCAAGAAGACAAGGAGTCACACAAAAAGCTTCATAGTGGTTACCTCAGTGAGGCAGTATCAGGGGTGATTTTTTCTATTAAGATAATTACTTTAACCAATAGAAGGAAAATTCAGTAATGTTCTTTAACTATAGGGTTTGTTGCTGCTGTTGTTGTTAAATACTGTCAGGTCAGAACCAACTCACAGTTGACCCTCAAGCAGTTTTTCAGAGGCAGTATAATCACAAAGGAGGAGAGAAAGCACGTCTTTCTCCCATGGTACAGCTGGTAGATTTGAACCATATGCCTTTGGGTTGACAGTGCAACCCCTTACTATTAAGCCAGTCGAGCTCCTTCATTGAAGGGTAACTGGCAAATTCACACCAGCCTGAGAACACCAGGCACTCTGCGCAGAACCAGCTTCCATGCCACCTGATGAGACATGACTTACCTTTCAAGGTTCTTGACGTGGCTGCTCATGAAGGCAGCTAGGCCTGGGTTGCTATGTCACAGGTGTGACTTTTTTTTGGCTAGTGTGTTATACTTTCCTGATTCAGGATTCTGCCACTGCTGCATGTTCCTAAAATCCTTGAAACTGTTTTGCACATCTAACCTAAAGTTTTTATAAAAGATGACAGATGACAGGAGATAAACGCCCACACGAATATAGGCTTAATGGTAAAAGGAAGCCTCCTCCACCCAGACTACATCCTTACCTGTAACAAGCACTTGATCCGCTCTCCTGGGGTCATGATTCCTGTCGTGAAGACACCAGATAACATCCCAGCTGCAAACAGCTGGGGGTAGCTGCATTAGAAACAAAAACCACAAGAAAGTCCTTGTGACTGATGACTCTTGAGAGACGCAATCCCAGCAAAAGGGATCGCTGTAAGTCAGTACTTGGGAGTGGGCAGAGAGCCAGTCAGAAATCAGATTTGCCATAAAAGCCATTAAAAGCATTCTGAAAGGAGCCCTGGTGATACAATTGTTAAGCGCGCAGCTGTCAAAAAGGTTGGTGGTTTGAACCAGGCACTTGGTGGGAGATAAAGATTACAGCCTGGAAAATCCCATGGCACTCTGTCATACAGATCACTGTGAGTTAGAATCAAATCAAAGCCACTTAACAACAATAGGTGCATTCTGTTATCAAGTTTTCCAGGGCAGACGTTTCAGTGCCAGGTAAAGAGAGTCTGGTCACGAGGCCCACACTCAAGAGGGCAAAAGCTTTAGACTATAAATTCTATGTCCCAGACTTCTTTTTTTTTTATGTCCCAGACTTCTAAGCACAGGGCCTATGGCCAATTTCCAGGCCTCTCGGATCCTCTCTGAGATTCTCCATCTGTAAAATGCAGGGTTGTTAGGAGAAAAGTCTATAAACAAGGGAAAAGCCTTAGTTGACCCTAGTTTCACGCCAAGCTTACCTAACCTGGGTCACTAAGGACCTGTGAACACTTTAAGCCAAGACTCAAGAAGGACAGTCTCAAGGCTAAGACTAATGGGGCCAAGGGACAGGCAGGTCAGCTGCAAGGAACATGTCTTTTTTTTATTATTAAATTTTATTAATTTTAATGAACATTTACAGAGATTTTGGGTTTTCATTCATTCATTGTTGCACTGGAACATGTCTTAAGATACTGATAAAAGCCCAGAACTCTTCTGGACCTAGCAGTCCCAATGTCACCCAGGAAGGCAAGATGGGCCTTGTGCCTCCCTCTGAAGGGAATGCACCGCCAGTAACCCGAGGGATGGGGTCTCACTCTGGTACCCAGAGTAAGAAACACTGAGGTAGTTCAAGGAGTCTAGGGTCCCAGCATTTACCTCCCATTGCTGTCTGTGCCACCTCTGCCACCTCATTTTTCTTACATTTTTTCAGCACTCAGACCTCCCAAAAGCCTCATGGGATTGTTGTTATGTACCACTGAGTCAGAAGTGACCCATAGCTGACCCTCCAGCAGGTTTTCAGAGGCAGTTAATCACATAGGAGAATGCCCATCCTTCTCCCATGGAGCAGCTGGTGGCCTCGAACTGCAGGCCTTTGGGACTACAGCACAGCTGCCACAAGGCCCCCAGAACTCATGAGATTAGGATACTAATATTCCCCAAAAAGAATCCTGACAACTAGGGAGATGGTCTGCCTTTTATTGCTGGGTTTTTGTGGTTGGTTTGTTTTTCTTTTAGACCACAAGGCAAAGGAAAATGAGATACTTCCTTGAACAGAGCTCCTGGGAGCCTGCCTTAAGGCCCTACAAGGACAGCCCTAGCCTGTCTGCTGGGGTTCTCTCCTGTTGCCCATGTCACAGTAACAGACAGAGCAGCACCACGTGCTCTGGGCTCATCAGAACTCACCTGAGCACATCCTCTGGAGATTTCTGCTGCAATCTCTTCCCTAAACCATATCCAAAGAAGCACACAGCAAACATGGGGGTGACGCCAATGAGAGGAGCAGCCATGCCCCGATACAATCCTGTAATACCCTGTAAAAAATCAAGATGCAAAAGCTACTTACAGGGAGGAGTGAGAAGGGAATCACTGGGTCACAGAGTTTGATGGGCAGAGGGAGGGGATAAAGAAATGGGGAAAGATCCAGGGGGACCTGAAAAGATAAGCTAATAGCATAGATCAACGGTGATTAATGTTATAAAACACAACATATGTGTACACAGATGTTCATAGCAGCATATTCACCACTGCAAGATCATGGAAATAGCCCAAATGTCCAACCACAATCGAATAGATTGAGAAATTGCGGTACATTCACACAATGGAATACTATGCAGCATGCAGGCGCAGGGATTTCGAAAACTACTACATAACTTGGGAGGGACTGGAGAACATTACACTAAGTGAACCAACTCAGTCTTATAAGGACAAATACTATGTAAGACCATTATTGTAGAAATAGAAAGACAACTAGTAAAACATGTATGAGGAGGGGAAAGGGTAGGAGCAAAGGAGTGAGGATGGGCAGGAGTAATCATATGGTTGCACAATTTGATGGGTAGAGGAAGGGAAAAAAATTTATTAAAAAACAAACAACAAACCCACATGTATGGAAATGATCATATAAAATAAGGCGAATGAGGGAATGTATGAAACACAATGTACACAAATTTTGTATGCAAACCAATATAAAATAAAACAAAAAAATATTTTTTGTGCAACAATGAATGACTAGAAACCCTGACTCTGGAAACTTTCATTAGTTAATAAAAAAAAACAATCAACAACCAAAAAAAAATCTGAAGTAAATAATACAAAAGATTATGATCAGCTAAGAGTTAATACTGCAGTATTTTTCATAGTATTTTTCATACTTCCATATTATATTTGAATTTAATAAAAATATTCATAAATACACACACACAAATTTATTTTTTAGAAAAAGGAGCTGTTTACAGATACCAACATCCCTAGATCAATGAAATGAGAGCTGTGAATCCTCCAAATTATGACTTTCTTCCTTCCCTTCACCAAAAAGCAGAGCTTTAAAACGGAAGGAAACCTTCATATTTATCAGCAATAATTTATCAGCAAATAATTGAGAGCTAGATAACAAAAGAAAACAATGCTTTTGACTTGTGGTGCTTGACAAGAGTATTGGACATACCACGGACTGCCAGGAGAACAAACAAGTCTGTCATGGAGCATGTGAAACCAAGCTTTTCCTAAGAGGCAAGGATTTTGAAGTTCAGTCTTACATACTTAGGGCACATGGCCAGGAGGGATACATCTTTGTAGAAGACATCATGCTTGGAAGAATGGAGGGACATGCAGGAGAGAAAAACCCCAGATAAGATGACTGATACAGTAACTGGAGTAATTGGGATAGGTGTGTCAGAGTCAGTGAAACTGGATCAGGATAGGGCAGGGTTCAGAGCATAGGATCGCTGTGAGTCACAGGTGACTTAATGGCACATAACAACAACAACATACTGTTGGAAAGAGAGGAATGAACTTCCATTCTGTAAGGCAACCTCGCAATACGTATCTATCCCCTTTCACCCAGAAATTCTCCATCTACAAATTAATCCTGGGAGTCAGGTGACCAGGTATTCACACCAAGAGGTGAAAAGGCTTGCCAAGGTGCCAATGGGGACAAGGGACCTGGAAAGCAGCAGATCAATATGTGGACAGGAGGATGGTGAATTCCAAGAGGATCATTTTCAAGAGAAAAATTTAAAAAATGACACACAAGAAGTAGCTAAGAGAATACGCCATCCCCTTTTCCTTATGACTCAGGGTGAAGTCTCTCTCAGGGAGGAGTGATAGGGAATGGCAAAGGACACACTGACAAAGAAGATTAATCAGAACTGGCTTTGACAAGCACTGTGGCATTTGGACAAGAACAAACTGGGAGGAGGGTAGAGAGAATGGTGCAGCGGTGAATGAATGGAAACCCAAAATCTCTGTAAATGTTTATGAAAATTAATAAAATATAATTATAGAAAAAAAATGACACACAAAGGAATAATAGACTATAGCTGTTTGGGCAGTGGAAAATCAAATGGAGATATATATAGAGTAGTTATACGACAGATAGTAACTCAAAGAAAGTCAAGCAAAATAAATCAGTGTAGAGAAGGGAAGGGGGCTGCATCTGACCTCTGCTAACTTCACAAGGTGAGAAAAACCTTCATTAACAGCTCATATCCTGTGAGATTAGGCATGCCCTCACACTCCACACTATAAACCTTTTCCACCAATTCTGACACCATGTGTCCCTCATGGACCTGCTTCTCTAGTGAGTTCAATAATTCATTGCAATGGCCACACAGAACTGCCTAACAATACTTATAATCACAGGGTTTATTAGCGAAGTAACAGTTTAAAATTCAGGATCAAGGACAACTCAGGATTCAGGTCTTTAATCAGATCAGGCACTTTTCAGCAGTTTCCAAAGGCAGGCTTCTGACACATGCCCAAAGGCACCACTTGCTAAGCAAGCTTCCTGTTCAAAGGCATACCATTTCCTCCCTGCGCTGTGCTGATCTCCTGGGGTTTGACTGACTCTGCTGTTACCATCTTATCTTCTCCTGGTCTTATAATTCCACTTTATGTGCTACATTTCTTCTCTAGTTTGAGAAACTTTCAACACAAGGATCTCGGGTCCCAAGGACACACTCAATGTACTCTCTGGATCTTCTCTTATGATGATACTGAGATCCTATTTTCTACCTCTGCTGTGACAGAACTAGCACAATTGCAAAAACTGACCAATCTCCACATGGGTGGTCTACACATCGTATTTGCATCATCCCATTTGAAAGGTGCTTATACTTTATCTGCACTATTAACAAGCCATCCAGTCCTAGGGAACACATGGCCCTGCTCAGCCATGAGGGAGCTCTGGCTATAGAATCAGTAGGGTATTGTGCTGCTAAGTAAAAGGCTCTGTCTTCAATGGTTCAAATCCACAAGCTGCTCTGTAGAAAAAAAATGGCAATCTCCTCCCACTGTCTAGGAAACCTAATCAAAGGTCACTATGAGTTGGAACTGATCCAACCACAGTGACTTTTGATTCAGCCATGACCATGATTGCAAAAAGTCACATCATGCATTGCAATCCCAGAGGTGCACGGTTCAAATCCACCAGATGCTCTGCTGAAGGAGGAACAATCGCCTCCTGTACCAGTCAGATCCAATTTGACGGTACACACATAAAAAAAAAAGTCACATCAAGTCACTCACTCAACTACAGACACCGACATAATTATTAACCCAACCCCAGGAAGAACTAGAAGTTGCACAGGAAATGAAATGCACATCATATGATACTATTTGGTCAATTGAGGAGAAAACACACATACAAACTTATAAGCATGAAAACCTGTGAAATGGATTAAACCACAAAATGTGATGCAAAATTATATAGTCAATGGTAGAGAGAATAGGGTGTGTAAGAGATAAAAACATCTCTCAAAAATGGGTAACTAACTGCAATGCAGTCCCAAAGAAGTGTGGCTCGAATAGACCAGATGCTCCACTGGAGAAGAGGCAGTCTCATCCGGTGCCAGTCGGATCTGATTCGACAGTACACAACAAGGGGAAAAAAATAGGCAGCCAAAAGACATTACAAATGTCACATAGGGTAGAATAGATGTACTGTACAAACAAAAGTACAGTAGTAGACACATACTATATTGAAATGGACAGGAATAGACAGTAAATCTCAAACTAAACTCTGCCATCAAGTCAGTCCCAACTCATAACAACCCCCTATTGTTTCCCAAGGCTGTAAATCCTAACAAGAGATTTCTCATTTTCCTCCGAAGGAGTGGCTGGTGGATTCGAATCACCAAAACCATGCAGCCTTTAGAGTTGGCAGCACAAAATGCTAGACTTTTCCACTAGAGCTTCCAAGAAAACTAGAAGTAGATGCCTTTTGGGGTGCTGAGGATGACAAGAGAGGAACACTGTTACTTTACTGTTTCAAAAGCCTTCAATCTGAACCAACTCACAATTGACCCACCAGAGGCTTTTCAGAGGCTGTCATTCCCACAGGAAGAGACTGACTTTCTTTCTCCCTCAGAGCAATGTGTGTGTATTTGAACTGCTTGCTCTGGGTTGGCAAAGCAATTCTCTATTCACTAGGACATCAGAGCTCCCATGTATTAAGTTAGAGCCTTTCAGAGAGTTAACAAGAGAATCCAGGTAGGTTCCACAGATGCAGGTGTGAACTTTAGATGTTCTCAACCATCTGCTTTCCAGAACTAAAGGGCTACAACCGCACCTGTCAGCACCTCTCCAGAGCCTGCAAAGACTCAAGGCTGCTACAGGCTGCAAGGCGGCCTATGAAGGACAGAGTAGAGGCCATAAACCAGAAAACATGAATGGGACAGGAATCTTTTGAGAAAGTTTCTTAGGGAATCTGACAAAAATCTTTTGAAAACACCTCCTATAGCTCCCCACTTGGGCTGAGAAGACCACTTAGGTCCTGAGGGGCCCAGCCCATGCCTCTGACAACTTCCCCAGCCTTCTTTCCACTGTCAGGCCACTAAGCACCATCCAGCACAAATGAGATACCTCTGGTATGGCACCTCCAGAAAACAGAGCTCTGTCTGCCATAACAAAACAGGGACATGTACAAACATGAACTAAGGCCTTTCTTTACTAGTCAGCTGAGTTTACAATGCAATTTTCCCCTGGTTCCCAGGACCCAGCACACTGCTCAGGAACTCCCAGGAAAGTTTTGATGTCTGCCAACCAAGAACCATCGCTTCTTTTCTGTAAGAGTCTTAGAGGTTCCCCTGGGCACTGGTTAGACTTCCACACTAGTACTGAACATCTCATGGATGACCAAAGAATAAACAAATATGTCTTAGAGAGGATGCAGCCAGGGTGCTCTTTGGAGGCAAGGATGATGAGGCTTCACATCACATACTTTGGACATGTTGCTAGGAAGAGCTATTACTTGGAGAGGGACATGGTGTTTGGAAGGGATGGCAAAGGAAAGAGAGACCCTCAACCAGGTGGATTGACATGGTGGCTGCCACAACAGGCTCTAGTGTGTCAGGCAGTGTGAAGATGGCACAGGATAGAACAGAGTTCAGATTTGTTGTTCAAAGGGGTTGCTATGAGTCATACTCAACTTTATGGCACCTAATAACAACAAAAGAAGGAAAGACAGGAGGAGGGAAAAAAATTGGGGTATATAGTTAACTGACTCTATAAAGAACTGCCTCCTTTGCCATTACTATTGTTGCTATGTACTGCTGAGTTGGAACCAACCCATGGCTGATCTTCCAGCAGGGTTTCAGAAGCAGTAAATTGTACGGAGGGGGGAGGAGATTGCTCATCTCTCTCCCATTGAGCAACCAGTGGATTTGAACCACGTACCTTTGCATTCCTGATGGACAAGTAAAGGGAAGTTTTTGGGGTCGTGTATTTTTGGGGTCATGTCTGATATGTAGTTTTTTTTAATTTTTTTTTTATTATTTTTTATTATTTTGTGTGCGTGTACCGTCAAATCAGATCTGACTGGTACAGGAGGATATTGCGCCTCCTTCTCCGGCAGAGCATCTGGTGGATTCGAACCGTGTTTCTCTGGGATTGCAGTGCAGCTTCTTGCCACTAGGCCACCAGAGCTCCCCTTGATATGTAGTATTGCTCTTTTCCCAAGAGTGGATGTCCTTAAGCCTTTGCCCAGGGTGGAAGTCTCCTCAAAGGTGTGTCTTTAAAACCCCACAGGAGTAGGGGAGGGGACTGCTGGCAGAGGCCTGGAGACTCCACTCCGGGAGTTGTGGCTTTTTGCTGCTTTGGGATGGCGGCCCTGATGGGCAAGTAAAGGGAAGTCTTGGGGGTCGTGTTTTTTTGGAGTCATGTTTGATGTGTATTATTGCTCTTTATTAATTTTTGAATGAATATTCCTTGAATAACACAGCAATCTTTTGTCTATTGGCTGAACTGAACAACTTGGTGTTGCTGTGATACTGCACACTGTTCTATAGTCTTGTCAAATACCATAATGGTTACCCATGATGTACAGTGTTTGGATGAGCTTCCAGGTTGATTTATGCTGGGAGGCAGGAGTGGCATCCACTTCCTAAACTAGATGCATCTGGAAACTCTACAAACTCTCTAAACTCTATAAATGTACAGAAATGATGGCAGTTATAGAACAGAGTTCTGTACAGAAATGATGGTAGCTATAGAACAGAGTTGAGGTCTTCCATGCAAAACTTACTCTCAGTCATATTCGACTTAAGGACACTTAACCGCTGCTAAGTGAAACTAGCACTGTTATATCTGGAGGAACATTCTTCCACTTCGTAATCACTCTTTGTCAATGTGCAGTATGAAGTTACCTGGGTTTGCTGTGATACTGAACCTTGTACCATTGGGGTATCAAATACCAGAATGGTTTCCCAATGTGGACAGTGTTTGGTGGAGCTCCCAGCTGTAAAACAGGTTTGAAAGCAGGAGTAGCATCCACTTCCTAAACCACATGCCTCTGGAAACTCTATGAACTTGGAGAAATGAAGATAGTTGTGGAAAGGCATTAGGTCTTTTGTTCATAGAGTCGCTGAGACTCAATGGCAATCAACAACAACCATCATCTTCACATGGGCAGTGAAAATTCGTTACCACTAGACCATAGAGCTCCCTCCTTTGCCATCAGACCAGAAGAACTGAATGATCCCTGATTACAACTGCGGGAAATTTTGATAAAAGATTCTATTAATTTATAAGAATCTTGATCAAAAAGGAAAAATTACAGAATTTTAAATTTTCATGGAATTTAGACTTTCTGGAGCCAATAAGGATGGATGAACTCTTAAAACTACTACCCTAAGCTAACCTTTAAACCATAGACTGAAAATAAAAATATTCCCTTACATCTTCTTTAAACTAAATGTTTTTTTTCCTTAAAAAAAAATAAATAAAAATGGTGGTTTAGCTTTGTAAAGAATGTCTGTCTTAAGCACTGTGTTCTTTTAAAAAAATTATTAGGGATCAAATTAATGATGGTAATTGAAAAAATTAGATAGAAACTCAGAGGGTAGTGAGTTTACCCTAATAGAGAAGAAAGAGTACAGAGGAGGGCGAGAATGATTGCACATTTGGTACAAATGTAAATTATATACACAGAACTTGTTAAATTGATGTATGTTCTGCTGTGTATATTCTCATCAAAACTAAACTGTGATGATGGGAAAAAAATGAACAACAAAAATTAGTAAGTGGAACTATAAGAAATTCCAGAAGAGACACAATAGATGGAGGATTTGAGGTGGCAAGTTAAGAAAGCCACAGATATTGGGTTACATCCATCCATCAGAATTGCAGTCACCCTATCCCTTTGGGTAAACAACATACCGGCCCTGTGAATGTGTTAATATGATGCAGAGGAATGTACAACACCATCATACCTCCTTCATAAGAGTTTTCCGGAAACAGTCGAAGGTCCCAGAATACATGGGAGGTTGTCCAAGTGAACTTGTGGGTTGTGTCTGCAATCGGACCTAAAACCAGAAGTAAAATAAAGTCAATTCACAGATTCAGAATTGTCTGTCAGCAGCAATGACCCAACTGTCTGCCAAGCTATGATCAGGAATAATCTATACACGGGACATCTACGCCTTTAGGATCCACTTAACCAGCTAGATCTAGAGTTCTCTTCCCTTCAGTTTACTCAAATACCACCCTTGCAGGTGCAGCCAGGGTGCTCCTTGTGGGCAATGACAGTGAAACTTCGTTTGACATACTTTGGGCATATTGTTAGAAGGGGCCAGTCCTTGAACAAGGACATCTTTCGTGGAAAGGTGGAGGGTCAGCAAAGGAAGGAAGGCCTTCAACAGATAACTTGACACTGTGACAGGATATGCCAGGGTTCAGATCCATTGTTCAATGGGTCACTATAAATTGTAGTTAGGAATGGCATTTAACAACAGCAATTCCTGATTCCCTTGTGGACTTTCTCTCACTGTTTCTATCTAATAAACCTCACAGTGATTCAGTAAGATAAGCATTTCTAGTTAGAGATCAAGGTTGAGTTTAATGAGTTTAAAGTGAGGTGCCAATAACTAAAGAAGGTGAACTGAGGCCAGAACTGACTGATAACAAATCTCTTGATCCTCATCATGTTTTATCTTTTTATGTACCTTCTTAACGTTTCTATTATTACCTTTATAATATTACCCTAGGCATTTTCCAATGCTTGTTGTTAAACATCATCAAGTCAGAAGTGATACATAGCTGACCCTCCAGGGGGTTTTCAGAGCCCACTTTTCTCCTGTGTAACAGCTGGTGGATTTGAACTGCCTGCCTTTAGGTTGGCAGCACAACTTCCTATCACTGAGCCACAGCAGTTCCTGCTAGCACAAGTCTGTCACCATGTGAGTTAGACACTTGGAAAAAAATCCTTTAAATGATTAGCTTTCTAGCCAATTTTTTTTTCTTCTTTCTTTCACATACTATAAAATTTACTCATTTAAAGTATACAATTCCTACCAAAGAAAGAATTTTTCTTTTACTTTTCAAAGAGAGGAGAGAACTGGGGGGGGAAAAGTGCAACAACAAATGTATGGAAATCCAAAATCTCTGTAAATGTTCATTAAAATTAATAAAATAAAATTTAAAAAGTATACAATTCCATTGAAAATTGTACAACCATCATTATAATCAATTTTAGAATATTTTTATCTCTTTAAAAAGAAACCTCCAACAATACCAAAGTTCAACTGGGCAGCAAACAATAAATGCTGATGAGGAAGTGGAGAGATTGGAACTCTAGAAGGCAGTTAGGTGCTTTCTCAAAAGTTGGTAATAGAAACACCATTTGACCCAGCAACTCCACTACTGGGAATATACAGAAACCAGAGCCATGACAAACAGATGCATGCACACTCATGCTTATTACTGTGTCATTCACAGTAACAAAGACATGGAAGTAATCCAAGTGCCTATCAACAAATGAATGGAAGGAAAACTATGGAATATTCACACAATGGAATATTTCAAAGCATTGAAAAACAGTGAACTTGTAAAACATTTGACAACATGGATGAGCCTGGAGGGCATTATGTTGAGTGAAATAGCTCAGTAACAAAAGGACAAAGACTGCATAACACTGCTATCATGGAATAGTAGATATGGGGGTTGGGAAGAGAAGAGGAAAAGAGTGGATAGATAACTAACATTGCATTGGAACAACTGAGGGGAAGAACTGTCCAAAAGGAAATGTCCAAATGTCCAAAAGGATTAGGCATTATGACAACAATGAATAAGCAGTGCATTGTGAGGTGGGCTGGGGAAGGGGGAGGGAAAAAGAAAATGTGCAACAATGAATAAATAAAAAAAATAAACCCTTATACCAGTGAGATCTGATTTGGCAGTACACACAAAAACTAATAAAAGAAAATAAAATTTTTAAAAAATTAAAAAAATAAACCGCACAATTCCATCATTCTAGTACACTCAATAGAACTATGTAGCCATCATTATAATAAATTTTAGAATATTTTTATCACCCTAAAAAGAAACTCTCCGTCCACTTAGCAATCTTCTCCATTCTTTACTCCTTTCAGCTTCTGGCAACCTCTCTTTCTGTCTCTATGAGTCTATCCCAATTCTGGGCTTTCCATACGCATTAAGTCATACAATTAATTATGGTCTTTTAAGCCCAGTTTTTTAACTTACTATAAAGTTTTTAAGATTACCCATGCTGCAGAATGTATTACTTTTCACTGACGAAAAATTCATTTTACAGCTATGCAAAATTGTGTTTATTTATTAAATAAGGCAAGGAAGGATTTTTTTTTTTCTTTAACGAGAGTTCCGTGGGACTAAAATGCCTAAAAATGACAAGACCTGTGCCTGAATTAAAATGTCTAATACAAATCAGAAAAGGTAAGAATGACTAGATGACGCAAAGAATATAATCAATGCTACTGAACTGTACAGGGACAGGCAGTGGAATTGGTGTATACTTTGCTGTGTATATTTTTTATAATGCTATTTGAGGGAAGCCAAATATCAAATTTAATAATAGTAAACCAAGTGCTGTATCGGGAAATGAGGGAAGCTTAATACAAGCTGAAGGTCACCCTGTGACACTGGGGCATTCCCTAGGAGTCAACATTGTTCTTAGTTTGTGTCAAATGAATCCCTCCCTCTTGAGATTAGCATAAAGAGGAACTTGGCCTTATCTGTAAAAGAGTTCACCATTATCCTTTGTTTTTGTTTTGTACTTCCTTGTGATTTTACTTTGCTTACCTTCCTTATGATTCTAAATAAACACTCAGAGAAGCATGGCTTGGGGCCTTCAGTCATGCGAACTGTTGGCCCCCTGTTTTTCACACTCTCTGTCCTATATAATTTCTGGTAGTCTCTCTCATAATTATAAAATTATTTCATTCTTTGGGACCCTTGGTCTGCAACAGCTATTTTTTAAATGTTTGATATAAAATCTCAGGAGCAGGAAGAAGCCTAAGGGCTCTCCATCCCTAGACAGTTGCTGTGTACTGTTGAGATGGAACCAACCCATTGCTGACTCTCCAAAGGATTTTCCAAGGCAGTAAATCACATGGGAAGGAAATGCCTATCCTCCCATGGAGAAACTGGTGGATGTGAACCATGTGTCCTCGGGGTTGTAGCGCAGTTTCTTACCACTAGGCCCCACCAGAGCTCCCTATCACCAAACAATGCTGCTTGCAATGAACTAACACACATACTAAGGAGATGAGTTGGAAACCCAGGTAAGCAGTTTGAACCCACCAGCTACTCCAAGGGGAAAAGATGGACAATCTCCTTCTGTGCAATTTCTTTCTTTCTTTTCTAAATAAAATTTTAATTGTGATTTTAATGAACAGATTTTCATTCATTCATTGTTGCACATTTTACCTTCTTGTCCTCCCTTCCCCATTCCTCAGCTCACTTTTTTTTAACACATATTCATTTATTGTTGCATAATTACCTACCTTCCCCCCTCCCCCCCGTCCTCTTTGCAATGATATACCTCTTATTCTGGGCTGTTGTCATACATATAATACCTAATCATATATTCCTTTTAAACAGTTCTTTTGCTCCATCTGTTCCAATGCAATGGCCATTATCTATCTACTCTTATCCTATTCTCCTCACAACCCACCCATGTCAGACCTGCTTTATAACAGTGGTGCTATGTAGTATTTGTCCTTTTGTGACTCCAGGGTTCCCCCATGCTGTATTGTTTTTCAGTGCTGCATAGTATTCCACTGTATGAATATACCATAGTTTTTCTGTCTATTCGCTTATTGATGGGCACTTGGGTTCCTTCCATTTCTTTGCTATTGTAAATAATACAGCAATAAACATGAGTGACCATGTATCTGTTTGGATGGCAGTTATGGTTTCTTTAGGGTCTATTCCCAGTAGTGGAATTGTTGGGTCAAATGATATTTCTATTTCCAACTTTCTGAGAAAGTGCCAAAGTGGTTGCACCATTTTATACTCTCACTAGCAGAGAATAAGGATTCTAATCTCTTTACAATCTTGCCAACATTTATTGTTTGCTGCTTTGTTGAACTTTGCTATTGTTCTGGGGTAAGATGGTATCGCATAGTTGTTTTTATTTGCATCTCCTTGATAGTTAGGGATTTTGAACATTTCTTCATGTGTTTCTTTGGCATCTGAATGTCTTCTTTGGTGAAGTATCTATTCATATCCTGTGTCCATTTTGCTATGGGTTGTTTACCTTTTTCTTGTTAAGGTGCTCCTATACAATTCACAGCCTCTGAAACCCCCCCAGAGGGTCACCTATGAGTCAGCTCCAACTCCACGGCAATGAGTATGTAACAATTATAGTACTGAATAAATAAATAGCTGATTTCATGTAGCAGTGTCCTCACCAGCCTATTGGCTTTCAGTCTTAGTCTTGTGATTGAATCATGCAAGGACTAGCTCTCCCTTAGGGATGCTCCTACGCTAGATAAAAGGTGATCAAGAGCCTTCTGATCAAGTCTGATATGAAACACCCCAAAGCTGCTTTCCGGTAGAGGAAATCTGATCCAGCATAACAAGCCCCCTAAAGTCACTCTATAACATTCATGTCTCTCTCCAACCCCCTCCACAATAGGCACAAGCTGACCATAACCTGTCCGTTTCCTCAAAACAAGCCTTAAAAATTACCTTTCAATAAAGTGAAACATCTCAGGCAAAGCTATGAATGCCAAGTCACAAGGCTTGAACTTTGGTCTCCAGCTAGGTCTGGCTAAAGGTGCATATGAAGATGTTCAAAGATGTTCATTTAGATGAGCTCCCTCATTCTCTGAGCTTTGATTATGGCTTTGTCACCAAGGAATGTCAAGTTCAACCAAGCCATAAGCGGAGTCACACATCTGCTTTGCTTGGGTGCAGTTCCTACTTACACTGCTGCTCAAAGTGATGCCTCTGTCCAGGAGAGTGGCTGTTATGGGGTGACAATTTCCAAGTTTCAACGCTCTCCCGCCCCCAGGAGAGGAAGGAGATAAAGTCACAGGGCACTCTGACCCCAAGAGAAAAAGAGTCTATGTCCAAAGGCATCTTTAGCATAACTCTTGTTTTTCCACTATCTTCCAAAGCCAGCGTTACGGGGCACCCGTGTATACCACAGTGATCACGTTAATGCTGACTTAATTCAGAGATAATTTTTTCCTTTCTCATCTCTTAAAACATGGCACAGGGTGCAAGGTCTAGAAAAGCAACCAGAGAACTTTAAATAAGATCCCTAGATAGGCGGTTTAGAAGCTGCTCAAGGCAGCGCCAGGATCTTTGGGGCGCGAGGTACGGATTATCTCTCACCCCAAGAGGCACCTACGACTTCTCACAGAAACTCCCAGGGGATCACCTTCAGTCCCCGGGCTGTGCCTCGCGCTGCCCGCCAGGGCCACCTCCCCAGCAATCCGTCCTCCCCGCCGCCTGCACCTTGACCGTGTCCAGAGGGTGTCCCACGAACACCAGGCACATGCCGCCAAAGCCGCCGGCCAGCAGGTTCTTGATCGGACTGATAGGCTTCGGCTGGTCAGCCATGGCTCCCCTGGATCCGCGAGTCGCTCAGCCAGTCTGTCTCCAGTTCTCCCCGCTCCACTGCTTCACCACAGCCCCAGCGCCGCCGCTGTCGACCTTTCACCCACTTTCAGGTGGGCGGAGCGCAGATCCAAGGGAACTTCGGAAGGAGGGCCCTGCTGCAACCCACTGGGCTTCCGCCGGAGGCTGCTTCCGGGTACAGTCCCGCCCATCGGGGGCGTGGCCAGAGGATTCGGGCGTGAAGCCGCCTGGGCGGGGCTTGGAGTGCCATTTGGATTTCCTCCTTCAGGAAGTCTTCCAGGACTTACATGTTTTCCTTCTTTGGATTCTCATTCATTCACTCTGCCGAGACCGACTGTGTCTCATATGGGTTCCTGCCCTTTTGGCACTTAACGTAGATAAATAAATGAAAAATGCATAGCATGCCAAGTTTTAGTAACAGTTACAAAGAAAAAGCTAGGAAAAGAGAAAAGGATCAAGTGATGACTCTGGATTCAAGATCTGAAAAGATGAAAGGGTCCTATCCATAAATATAGGGTGTGGGGTGAGGAAATTTACCAGGTTGTTGTTGTTGTTACATGCCGTCGAGGCGCTTGTGACTCATAGCGACCCTCTGTACAACAGCTGCTCTGTTCTGTGCCAATCTCATTGTCTCCGACACACTCACCCCGATTGCCCCAATCCACATCCCAGAGGGGAGGGCCTTCCCCTCGTGCGCCTGCCCTCCACCCTCCCAAGCATGATGTCCTTCTCCAAGGACCGGTCTCTCCTTACAACATGACCAAAGTATGTCAGATGAAG